TTGCTACCACGACACTAGCGCTCATCATCAGAGGAGACGTTGGCGTCTTTTATCGAGGCTTTCCAGAGACAAGTCCTCCCCTCACGACCACCAATTTATCTGAAAAAGTGGTGTCTGGACATAGAAAAATGGTTAGAGCTCAAAAACTATTAAACATAGGAGCTTCAAAATTTTCTTTGGTTGTTTAGCTCTGATGAAGGGCTATCCATCAGGTCAACCAATGCCCACACCCCCACACCCCCAAAAAAAGACCCCCTCCCAAGCCACTATGATTTTGGGATGCACCTAGTAGCATGACGTTTATTAGGAATAAAGACTTCTGGGTTCCGGTGCATTTCTGCGTGCGGGGGTCATTATGTTACCTCTATGTGGTGTCTAGTCAAAGTTCAGGGTAGTCTAATATGGACTTTGGCTGATGCTGTAACAGAAAAAATAAATCATCAAGGCTCACCCTGATGAAGAGCAAACATTAATCCTGGCTGAGCTGTTTGGTACTGAGCTTGTGGATCCATTGGCTGAATAAAAACTTTCTACGTCTTCAGACTTTAACAGTCGCCCACCTGCTGTTTGATGCAGGAAGACGTCTTCAGATTGTTGAAAACTCTTTCTTCTTTATTCACACGGGTCACGGTTGACATATTTGTTTACTCAGTGCTGGTGTCTTTGTCCTGAAACTGAGTGTAAATCTAAATAAAAACAATGTGGACCCTACACACTGGCTATAAGCATTGTTWGACGTGAGTGGGGGCTTTCACCAAATCTTAACTTATTTTAAAGATGTTTTTCCTTTTCTACTCGTAAGGCTCTGGACTGATTCCAAAACTGCTTTGTTTTTTAAAATCAAATCGGACCACCCGTTAAGGTCTCAATAAGGATTTAGAGGTCATCAAAAGTTGAAACTTAGGAAGCAAGTCCTGCGTTTACGTCCGTTACACCATAAAAACAATCGTGGAGACAAAGAGCGCGGCACAGTTTCACAACAAATTTTGAAACCAAGAGAGTGACTAAAGATCACAAAAACCCTGACCCACACATTGCCGGGGTCGGACAAAGTGCCCGTCATGATGACATCATCATCATCATCGTCATCATCATCATCATCATCGTCATCATCATCATCATCTAAAACAGCATCAACACCACAGAGTCTGTTTGGACCCAGTAGATTAATCAGAACTGCATTTATGACACTTTAAACCCATTAGTCGGGTTTATCAGATGTTTTTGTTTAGATTTATTGTCCAACAGGACTTCATAACAAACTCAGGTTCTAGTTCATAAAGTCCTGGATGAGACGTTAAAGCAAAACACAAAAACACATTTTGAATAAAGAGTCTGATAAATTGAAAAAGCTCTAAAATCCTCCAGGATCTGTAGAAACCAAGCCTCAGAACTCTGAGGAAAGCTGGACTAGTTTTGGACCAGAACCAGGACTCTCACATGACTGTCATATTTGGCCTCACTCGCCTCTGAAAGACTCTTTTGTCCCCAGAACCCAATAATCGGATTCTTTCTGCCGTTTCCAGTTCASGCAGTGTTTCTGAGAGGACTTTATTTCTGAAGTCAGCAGCTGAAGCTTCAGCCTCGATTCATTTAATCATTCAGCAGTCATGGACACATCTCTTACCTTTGTAAAGTTAAAATGTGTCAAAGTTAAATGTGAAACTAGTCTTCTTTGTTTCATATTGATTTTAATATTTCACTTATTTTAAAGTTGATTTACTTGACACTAAATTATTAAACTGAACTTCTTGACTTTTTTAAAACCAGTTGAAGTCAGAAACTAGCTTCATTTAGCAGATTAGCTTTTTTTGCTAACTTTGGGAACTGTTAGCTGATTAGCTTATCTCAGGATCAGGAGCCAGGTTCTCTCAGGGTTCAGTCTTACACTTGGACCAACCTGACCCCCAAGACCATGGACCACCATGCCCCCAAAACAAAAGGGCAACCTGCCTCCCCCAGATTCTTGACCAGCCTGTCCCCCCAGTCTCAGGACCAACCTGTTTATAAATCACTTTGTCATGTTTAGAACAGGTTTTATAAGTAAAACCAACACTGACATTTTATTTTGAAGGGTCAACTATGGTTCTAAAGAGGAAGTTTTCTGCCTCTCAGTTCTGGGACGACTGCAGGAAACACCAGGTGACCGTGGTTCAGTACATCGGAGAGGTGATGCGTTACCTGTGCAGCGCCCCGAAGGTAAGAGTTCTCCTCAGCTCTCAGACACATGAGGTGTATTTTATTTTTAAATGTAGTGTGACATAAACACTTTACAGTGGAGCCTCAGCGGTTCTGTTTAGATTTAGTTTACCACTTTATCTCAGAACACGCCTGTTTCTCACCTCAGTGACAAGTTTTTTTTGTCTTGTTTTTGACTTGTTGGGTTTTTTGGTCTTGTTTTGCTTTGTTTTTGTCTTGTCTTGTTTTGATTTTGTTTTGCTTGGCCTTGTTTTTGTCTTGATTTCATTTTGTGTTGTCTTGTTTTAATCTTGTTTTTGTTTTTTCTTGTTTCTGTTTTGTCTTGTATTGTTTTTGTATTGTTTTCGCCCTGTCTCTTTTTGATCTTGTTTTTGTTTTGATTTTTTTAGTTTGTCTTGGTTTGTTTTTTCTTGTTTTTGTATTGTTTTGTCCTGTCTCTTTTTGATCTTGTTTAGTTTGTCTTGATTTTGTTTCGTCTTGTTTTTGTTTTTTCTTGTTTTGTCTTGGTTTTGTTTTGTATTGTCTTGTTTTTTCTTCATTTTGTTTTGTCTTGTTTTGATTTAGTTTAGTTTGTCTTATTTTTATTTTGTTTTTTCTTGTTTTAATTTTTTATTTAGTTTGCCTTGTATATTTGTTTTGTCTTGTTTTTTGTTCTGATTTTGTTTTGTTTAGTTTGTCGTGTTTGTTTTGTTTGCCTTGTGTATTTGTGTTTGTTTTGGCTTGTTTTTTCTTGTTTTTGTCTTGATTTGTATTATCTTGTTTTTTCTTCTTTTTGTTTCGTCTTGTTTTGATTTAGTTTGTCTTATTTTTATTTTTTTCTTGTTTTTATTATTTTATTTAGTTTGCCTTGTATATTTGTTTTGTCTTGTTTTTTGTTTTGTTTTTTTCTTGTTTTGTCTTGTGCTTGTTTGCTTTGTCTTGTTTTTTGTTTAGTTTGCCTTGTGTATTTGTTTTGTCTTGTTTTTGTCTTGTGTTTGTTTTGCCTTGTTTTTGTTTTGTGTAGTCGTGTTTGTTTTGTCTTTTTATTTTGTTTTGTTTATCTTGTGCATTTGTTTGTCTTGTGTTTGTTTTGTTTAGTCGTGTTTGTTTTGTCTTTTTATTTTGTTTTGTTTAGTTTATCTTGTGTATTTGTTTTGTCTTGTTTTTGTTTTGCCTTGTTTTTGTTTTGTTTAGTCGTGTTTGTTTTGTCTTTTTATTTTGTTTAGTTTATCTTGTGTCTTTGTTTTGTCTTGTGTTTGTTTTGCCTTGTTTTTGTTTTGTGTAGTCGTGTTTGTTTTGTCTTTTTATTTTGTTTAGTTTATCTTGTGTATTTGTTGTCTTGTTTTTGTTTTGCCTTGTTTTTGTTTTGTTTAGTCGTGTTTGTTTTGTCTTTTTATTTTGTTTTGTTTATCTTGTGTATTTGTTTTGTCTTGTTTTTGTTTAGTCGTGTTTGTTTTGTTTTGTCTTTTTATTTTGTTTTGTTTAGTTTATCTTGTGTATTTGTTTTGTCTTGTGTTTGTTTTGCCTTGTGTTTGTTTTGTTTTCCCACCTGATCTTGTTGCCTGCGTTTGGACTCCACGCCTCCTCAGATGTCCTCTACTGTAAAACGTCCTGCTACAGACAGCTGCTGCCGTTGAGACGATCCCGTCCGAGACATCTTTCCAAATCCGTACATTCCCGCTGCGCGGCACAGCTGGCTCTCCATAATAGGAAGCGTTAAATGTTAAATATGGAGTTCCAGCTCCCAGCCTGGCTTTCTGTGCAGTGTTTAACTGTTTGTTGCTGTAAAAAGCCGACCGACCACTCGGTCTTTTGAATCTTTACGGGTTTATTTGTATTTAGTCGTACTGTAAACATCCTTTTCTCCATGTATGCCATTCAGAGTGTCTGATTCCATCACGTGAAGCTGAGGCTCAGTTTTCTCCGGAGGCGGTTTGTCTTTTTCTGGTCAGATCTCAGAATAGCTGCTGGCCTTTGCTTTGGACGACCATATCAAGTGACTCTGCTGCCGTTTTTTCTTTTAGTAGTACACAGATGAACTTAGTGGTCATGGTATTTAAAGTAACAGAGTATAAGGACCATGCTGGGCGAGTATTTCTGCTTTGCTCTGCACTTTTAGTTGCCTGGTGTTTAAACACATTCAGACTTTAGATTTAAAATCTGTCCAGATGATTTAATACGATTTAATGGTTTTTATTTGGAATCCTGTCGGGTGTTTTGGTTCACTAACGATCAGATTCAGTTCAGCTCATTAAACCACATGAAGTAGCTGAAAGTCATCGCTGCAAATGTTGAATCTCTGCAGAAAGACAACGACAGGGACCACCGGGTCCGGCTGGCCATCGGGAATGGCATCAGAGCCGAAATCTGGAAGGAGTTTCTCAGTCGCTTCGGAAACATTCAGATTTTAGAGTTTTATGCCTCCACTGAAGGAAACATCGGCTTTCAGAACTACGCCGGAAAGATCGGCGCCGTTGGACGGGTCCACTTCTTGCACAAAGTAAGAATGACTCCAAATATTTCACCTTTTTAACATTCACTTTGTGTTTGTTCTAATTATTTATTATTAAAATGTAAATCTGAAAAGTGTTTTTGTTTTATTAATCAAAGTGGAAACAGGAAGTAGTTTGGATGCGTTCATCCAGCTGTCAATCAGAGCTTGGAGCAGCGTTACCTCAGATTCTACATTTATTTCTCCTGCAGATGCTTTTCTCGTACGCTCTGATAAAATACGACACGGAGCGAGAAGAACCGACGCGAGACTCTGACGGTCTCTGCATCCAGGCAGCTAAAGGTGCCCAGCTGAGAGCTGCTTCTTTGTTTCAACAGGTTTTCAGTGTTTCACGCTGAACTTGGTGTTTTTTCGCAGGCGAAACCGGACTGCTGGTTTCAAAGATCACAGAGKTCACTCCGTTTGAAGGCTACGCCCAGAACCAGGAGCAAACAGAGAAGAAGAAACTCCGTAACGTCCTGAAAAAAGGAGACGTTTACTTCAACACCGGGGATCTGATGAGGATCGATGAGGAGAACTTTATTTACTTTCAGGATCGAGTCGGTGACACCTTCAGGTCCTGAACTTCAGCTCACATCTGGCTACTTCAGCTTCCAGCTAAACGTCTGCTATTTTTAGGATTTAACCAAATGTTTGCTTCTTTTAGCTTCTTGCTTTGCCTTTGATACTTAGCTCACTTTTTAGTTATTTTAGCTTTTTTTTTAGCCTTTTGCTACATGGTTTCCTGCCTTTCATGAGCTATTAAAAGCTTTAGCTGATATAAACAGGTTCGACCCCACAGGTGGAAAGGCGAGAACGTGGCAACGACCGAAGTGTCTGACATCATGTCCATCAGCGGCTGTCTGCAGGAAGCAAACGTTTACGGAGTTCAAGTTCCAGGTGATCCTCGTTTGTTTGGCTTTTAATTCAAAACAGCTAAAAAAATCAAAACATTAAACACAAATGATTTATTTGAAACTGAAAAGGCTACAAATCTGGAAATTTACTGAATTGAAAAATGAAAACAAGGAAAACAAAAAGGTCAAATTATTAAAACCACAGCTAAAAGATAAAATGAGCAAARTCACAGCTAAAGGCTCAAATTATCTAAACAGTAACCAAAAGCCCAGATTAGATGGACAGTAGCTAAAGTTTCAAATTAATTAAACATGAACTAAGGGCTCAGATTAGCTAAAATGTAGCTAAAGGCTCAATTTAGTTAAACAAATGCTAAAGCAGGGGTGTCCAAACTTTTTTTAGTGAGGGCCAAATACAGAAAAATAAACAAAGGGCCGGGCCACACACTGTAAGTGACAAACTGATACATCAATAATGTGTGTGTTTCTAACTCACCTATTGGGCATAAGGTCATAAGTTTTTTTTTTTGTTTGTTTTGTTTGTTTTTTTAACATTTTGGAATTAAAATGATCCTTTTTCAGACTACTGTGATTTCATTTCACTATGGGGTATTAACTGAGAAACCTCACACAGAAAGTATATTGGAGCAAATAGACTGTTTAATAGCATTTAAAGTGTATCTTACCCCCMTGTGAAAAGATAACTCCGCCCCAAGGCRAAATTTGAMAAATGCATCAAAGTGGGTAGGGGAGGAGGGGGTTAGAGAGCGGAGGTGTGGCCAGGAYSAGAGAACGTGGCAGCTAGCATTAGCATAATTGATGCTACATGGAGAGTGACCACAGCGACRCAGATAGTTACATCTCTGAACGTCTGAGGTGGAGGATTTTCACCCCCGACTCGTGTTGTCTCCCTGGATCAGGACATGAAGCTCCAGCAGCCTCAGCTGAGCTGTCCGCCTCACACCACACCAGCCTCGGACAGAGGAGGAGGAGCGCTAAGACAGCCTGACAGAAAAAATAAAAGCATACAGCTGCAGCTGCTCACAAGATCACTAGTTTAAATCAGGAATAAAAGTGTTGGGTCTTGTTTGACTGAAGTTTGGTCCGTTAGGGCTGCAGCTGCCCTGCTGCCTTTCTCCCCTCCTCCCCTCCTGCTGTGCAGGACGTACTGCTGGTGTGTGTGTGTGTGTGTGTGTGTGGGGTGGGGGGCAGCGCAGCAGTCAGCTCTCCCCACCCGAGGCTGAAGGTCAACAGACGATCATRCTAAGCTTGCTAACTGTTCCACCCTCTGACTGCTGCAGGGGCGTGTCTTAGAGAGAGGCTTTTATACCAGAACACAGCCGCTGTGACGAAACCGTGGAGAAGACACGTCACCGTGGAGAGCCGTTAACCAATATGTAAATTAGCCTGCAGTACCACTGCTCTACCCATATGAGCAGCAAAAACACGTTTTTAGACCAAATATAACAGATTTGAACAAATACACACAAAAACATCAAAATTAGCACAGAAACAGTACTATATAACATTTTAGACACATTCTAGACAGCTTATCAGCTAAAAAAAAGTTAATTTTGGGGTAAGTTACTCTTTAAATTGTTCACACAGTAAAAGTTGCAGTGAATGAAAAAACTTTGATTTGAAACTTTTCCTTCCATAAATTACATAACCAGGTACACAGTTATGGTGTTTTCTTTAGACATTGAACTCAAAGAGTGAATGTACTTATGAGGTTAAAAAACCAAAGCCTTCATCTCACTTTTTGCTCTATTTGTGTTAGAAAATGTTTCACTACTTTCCGTGTGATAATAACAAGGTGTATAGTTCTGACATTTATTATTTGCCAGGCTGACATTGCAAATAAGAAGCTCGTCTCAATGTTTTACCTGATTACATAAAGGTTTAATAAAAGATTAAAAGCACTATGAGCCTTGACTGTGGAAAAAATAAGATTACATCTCAACGGAGGAAGCAGGCAGCCACGATGATTTTCACCACATCAGTTCTGCACATCACGAAGGCGTCTCATCGGCACTTCAGACATCCAAACACAACAYAAAGTGTTCAATGATTTATCAACATATCACAAACGTTACATGTTTTCACTTTAACTTAGTGATGGTGTATTTAGTTCGCTAACAGTAGGGACGTAAAAGGCTTTGTGGCTGCRCCACTTTATATTTAATTATTTTGTTCGCCAACTATAAATATTAAAAAAGTACCTTCAGTGGTTCTCATCCAACATGTGCYGTGAAAGGAGTGCATATCTGGTCAGTTATTTCTTATATTCATAAACTGCAACAAAAACAAAGCGTGCGTCCATCTTGTTTTCCCAGGGTGACAACTGGAACGTGGTTTCATCTGGTAGCTTGGGAAATTGCATCACTACCACTTCCTAGTTAAGGTTTTACCACGTAAATGGAAGCAGCATCAAACTGAACGCAGTGTGAAGTCACAAAAAGGTTCTTCTTCTCTTCTCTATAATTTTGTTTCTGCGGCTGGCTCCATCTAGTGTTGAAACTGAGAAGTGCATCGGTGTTGAGCTAAAAAATTCTTACGCTGGCCATATTCGATTATATTTTCAGAATTTGCTGCGGGCCGTAGTTTGGACACCTAAAGGTTTGAATTAACATGAGCTAAAGGCTCTGATTAGCCGGACAGTGGCTAAAGGTTGAAATGAGCTCAGTCAGTGGAAGTAGTTCATGAACATACAGAAACATTTATAAGCAGCTGAATAAACGAGTAAACTGTTGCTGACTCAGCATTTCTCTGCATTTTTAATATTTTTATTTATTTGTTTTTCTTCAGGACATGAGGGGCGTGTCGGGATGGCAGCTGTTACCTTGAAGAAAGGTTCAGAGTTTGATGGAAGAAGAATCTATAATCATGTGATTAACTACCTGCCTTCATACGCTCGGCCTCGTTTCATCAGGGTACAGGTGAGTTCATTGCACGCGCTGCTGCAGGATGTTAGTGCTGGAGAAACACTGAGTGTGTGTGTGTGTGTGTGTCCTCAGACCTCAGTGGAAGTCACCTGCACGTTTAAGCAGACGAAAATGAAGCTGGTGGAGCAGGGTTTTGATCCAGGWAGTATCCAGGACCCTGTCTACTTCCTGGATGACAGAGTTCAGAGCTACGTTCCTYTGAGCGCTGAGACCTACGAGTCCATCAGATCAGGAACCCTCAGACTCTGAGCTCCTCCAGGTTCTGCTCAGTGCAGGAAATAAAATAAAATATTTCATCCATCCATTTTCTGTACAGGCTTCTTCCTTTCAGGGTCACTTGGTGTCCATATCCAGCAGTCACAGTGCGAGGGGCGGGGTACACCCTGGACAGGTCTCAGTCCATCCCAGAGACACACAACACAAACAACCACTCACTCTCACCTAGGGACAATTTAGTTATCAGTTAACCTAACAGTCATGTTTTTGGTCTGTGGGAGGAAGCTGGAGTACCTGGAGAGATCTACCCAGAAAGGTCCCCAGGCCGGGATTCGAACCGGAGACCTTCTTGCTGAGAAGCATCAAGCTCTACCAACAGAGCCACTGTGCCGCCCAAAACACAAATAAATAAATATTTGTTTGTTTATATTTAGCATACTAATAAAAACAAACAGGAAGTGGCTTCTATAAAGTTTATATTTTATGTCTGTAAAGGGTGAAACTGTTAAGAAAATAAAACAAGTCTTATTGTGAAAGTTGTTTTATTGTGATTTTGTTACTCAGAGCTGCAACAATAAACTAAAGTTTCACCACAAAGTGGAGCCAGAGAGAAAGTCAGGCTCAGAAAAACCTCTGGAACTGATTTATTTTACAGATTCAAAATGACCTTCATATTTTTCTGAAAAGTTAAAGATTAAAAGTGTTTATTTTATTCTAACAAAGAGCATCGAAATTCAGCTCCAAACAGGAAATAAATAAAAACTTAAAACACAAAATACCCCAGATCCAAATTTTCATTGATTCAAACCTGTTCTGGACTCAGGTAGGTACAGCTGTCTCCAGCAGGTACACCTGTCTCCAGCAGGTACACCTGTCTCCTGCAGGTACACCTGTCTCCTGCAGGTACACCTGTCTCCAGCAGGTACACCTGTCTCCTGCAGGTACACCTGTCTCCTGCAGGTACACCTGTCTCCTGCAGGTACATCTGTCTCTTTTAGGTACACCTGTCTCCAGCAGGTAAACCTGTCTCCAGCAGGTACACCTGTCTCCAGCAGGTACACCTGTCTCCTGCAGGTACACCTGTCTCCAGCAGGTAAACCTGTCTCCAGCAGGTACACCTGTCTCCAGCAGGTACACATGTCTCCAGCAGGTACACCTGTCTCCTGCAGGTACACCTGTCTCCAGCAGGTAAACCTGTCTCCAGCAGGTACACCTGTCTCCAGCAGGTACACCTGTCTCC